AAAGAAAAACCATTGCAAGTTTCAAATATTTAAAATTTGATGCAAGTTTTAAATCTTTATACATGTTTTGAACTAACATAAGTCGAATTTTTATACAAATTTTGAACTTATGCAAGTTTTGAATTTTGACACTTTGACACAAGTTTAATTTTGACACAAGTTTAAACATTGATACAAGTTTTGAACTTTGTTTGGATTTTTATATAAATAGATAAAATATTTGATTTACTTCAAAAGCCTTTCATAAAATTATATTTAAAAAAAAAAAATCTTAAATAATACTATTAATAAATTGTGATCTTAAAATGTCTAACTCAACTAATAATCCCAGATCATAGTAAAAAAGTGACAATTGGTACCATTAAAGGAATTTCTAATTATTCTACTTTCATGTGGCCATCTGTTGACAAAGATAGATATATAGCAGTGTATGAAATACCTAATTTTGGGAAATCAAAAAATATTCAATTTTTGATATTAAAAAACTTCTGAAAAATAATAATATTAATCAACCAAACATTACAGTCATTAATCAAACAACACCTCAATCAGAATGGAAAATATTTTTTCCTTCAGAAGTTGACCCATCAATTCAAAAATCGTCTGTTCCTGAAGTAAGGTTGAAGCTTCAAGAGAAAAATTTGGATTTCACTGGAAATAAACTATACAGTTATCCTGTTTCAGACAATACAATAATTCTCTGCTAAATAATATGAATTTGAAAAACCTCTTGGATGAAAAATTGGAACCTGGATTTGTTCTAAAGAGTATGGGAAGAAAGGTAGTAAGAAGCTTGATTTAAATGCAATTGAACAATTAAAAATCATGTTTTTGGCTGGTAATATAGAAAAAAATACTCTACCGAGGATATGTTAAAAGAACTTCAAAGACTTGTTGGAACTGATGAATTAGAAGCTGAAAATAATCCTTCTCGTCAACATCACAAAAGACAGGCGGTTGAAAATACATCATCTAATTAATAAGTAAAAAAATTTTTTTTTTATTTGTTCTTATATGTTTTTAATAAATAAATACTACCATTACACGGAACATGTAAAAATTTTTATATGAAAATTCTTAAAAATCTACAGGTGCTAAAGAGTAAACTTTTTTTTTACTTAAGTAAAGACTAAAAAAAAACTGATAATATGTTCTTTGGGATTTGTTTTGTTTGTGGACGTAAAAAAAAAATCATGTGGTGGAACAAAAACATAGTACAACTTTTCATGCAAAGGTACTCAATTAGCTATTTTTGTGTCAATT